TTTCTTTGTATTATTTCGTTTTTTCCAATAGGTGAGCCCAATAGTACAAGTTTCTAGGATTCAATAATTGTTGGGTATAATTTTAATTCGTCATCAGGTATACTTGAATTAATTTTTACATTTTTCAGTATATCCTTTGAATAATTTCGTCGATAATTATNAAGAAATATCTGTTCAACTATATTTTGAAAGGAAAACACTCAAGGACCCGGTGTATAAATGTAAATCACTTTGAAAAAAGGTGGTTACAACTTAAAATTGATGATCGAGGTATTCAGAAGTATGCGCGATTCCAGCTGCCTAATGGTTCACTTCCCTTACCTCCTTGCCAAACAGTTTTTAGCTTTCTGGCTAACGGAATTCCATTGAATTTACTGGATTCGTTGAGTAATGCAGACTATCATACGTGTTGCAAACTGTATAGCAAATTAGATGATGAAGCAAAAAGAGTTCTCGATTAGATGTTAAGTGAGAAACGCTCAATATGTGAAGAAAAGGCGCAGAAGAAGATCACCGAAACCTCCATTTGGAGAACCCTCCTATTCATCCATTCCAGAAACTATGTAATCATAGTAAATAGAAGTAACTTTGCCTACCTCTGTTGTGCATGCTCTCAACGTGTCCGTAAGTTCTTTACGCTCGTCGCTGGACATCTTATTCAACAATTTTTGCAGCTCTTCATTGTTCAGATTCACCTTTTCGAGGTTTCCATTGCTGAACGACATTGCTGCAGTGGGAGCAGCGGTTTGAGAGTTAATTACCTAAAAAAAAAACTCAAAAAGTTAAAAAGATAGCCGATCGGGAGTTTTTCTACACGACTGAGATTGACAAGATTAAAACAATAGGCTAGAGAAGGCTAAACTCATGTGCTGCTCATATCATGTGCGCTAAACTTTGTATTAAGCGTAAAACGGTAGTGAATCTGCCTACATGAGTCAAATCCGACCAATTTTCTCGAATATTCCTTCTGGATCACTTGAGTAAAAAAGAGGTAATCTGACACTCATCAGAGGATTAGGAATCAACGACTGAAGTAAGAAAATAACGTGGCTTCTCTATCTATGGCTCAAATTTGCGAGTTGAATGGCATATTACAACAATGACAATCAAAATCATAACCCAGGCATTTTCTTGAGTTTTTTGAAGTTTGAGCTGTGAAGCGACAACTATTAATATTGAAGACGCCCTCTTAACCTCAGCATCGATGAAGAACAACAGCAGAGGATGTGTCAAACTTGAAAATAATATAATAGTGTGATGAGATTAAGTAGCAAAGTGGCGAAAAACGCGCCCCATCGCCGCAGTGATTAAGGCGACGCGGCGGGACCGCCACGGTCATCGCGGCTGCTTGTTAAACAGCTGATTCATCGGAAGCCTATTTCCTTTTTGGTTAGTGCTATAAATCTTCGTATCAGAGCGTTTCTGACACTTTGCATAATTCTACAGCTTTTCCTTGGGCTACTGGAAGCTCTAAGCAGCCCTTTTTTCTACCTTGCTCATTTTACTGATGAGGTTTTCTGTTGACCTATATGACAAACTCGCTCGACATAAACAAAGGCAAGCATAAAAAGCTCCCGTTTGAGGAGTGTGACCTAAAAAGTTTACGGGCAGTAAATATTGGGTTGGTCATTGCTTTCTCACTTGTTTTCTCACTTGACGTCCCTTGGAGCTGTGCTTTCTCGTTACTGTTTTTCGTAGTGTTTGCTGTTTGCCCGAGTCAAATACTTGAAGAGTTCTTCATTCTACACAACTGCTACTGTTCTTTACAGAAAAGTAGTTCTATGACTACTCGTTCGAATCTTTTTGCAATCAGTCTTATCTAACATTGCTGGCAGCAGTCAGATCGTTAAGCCATTTTTATTTCCTTAAAAGGAAGTAATGAAAAAGACTAACTCGTTATGGAAAAGTTGAGTTGGATTCAGATGAGAAAAACCTTCTGTATCTATGTAGAATTGTCTTTTATTCTTCCAAGAAGGCTTAGCAATCTTGTGTGCTAACGTCAGTTCGCGCCCACTTAGCCGAAGTAGGTATCCATACCCAAGCCGCTGTTATTGCTTTGTACTTATGTCGCTTTTGTTAGATGGCTAACTCGATATCCGTCAACAAAAGCTCAGCACAAAATATGCATGACAACAAGGTTCTTTATAAATTCTCATCGTTATTTGTACAACGCCAGACTACTACGAAAAATTGAGTTTATTCAAAGTGAGGACGATTTGGAGGGGAATATGAAATCAACCAAAGCAGTATAATTGTAGGGGTTGGAAATAACGATTTCGACTTTCTAAAAGAAGCATTTTAGCGTTTAAAGATAAGTGGCTCTCAGAACGAAACGCCCGAATCGAACGAGTTTTCGACGAAATAGCAATTGTGATAGCGTGAAACTAGCGTAACGACACATCCTGAGCGTTTATGAGCTGCTTTTTGCTTACAATTCAAAGCCTCATTCAAACTGTTTCGATAGTCTTCTTTTGGTCCATGATAATAAATCCTTTTGAAAACTCAGGGAAACAAAGAAATAACCCTAATTGGAATTAGGCATTTCGTTCTGTCCCTCCGTTATTCTTGCTATATGCCATATTGCTGTTTGTCCATAAGTTGAAGGAGCATTCCTTTCTCACGGGAGCCCTTTTTTTCCAGCTGGAAGCTTCTTCGCTTTCATTTATTTTTACTTTTTCTAAAAGGATTTGAAAGTTTCTCAGAACCACAGACTGGGTCTCTAGTTTTGAATTCCACATGCATTTCAATTCGTGATGTTTTCAGAGAATTACTGAGAAAAGATCTTTTCTTGTACAATAGCTCCCATCTCAGCCAAGTCTTCAATAAATTTCGAGCTATACACACGCATCTTACACTTTTCCCAGTTCCTCACCTTGAGCGACCTTCTCTCAGTCGCTTACAACTTTTATGGCTTCTTTTCTCAAGAACCTTTACAGTCCGCGATTAGAATAAACTTTTCTCTGGTGTGAATCGACACCTGTTCCTTCTTCCCTTTGAACTCCCTGAATTCTTCTCTAGCCCATGGCACATGTCATTTCTCATGTTGTTTTTCATTGCTGCTTTTGCATTAATTGAGGTAATGAAAACAGCAACGATACCTCTTGGCCTGCCAATGGGTTTGTTTTTTGACACTTCCTCAAAACTGGTTTCTTCTATGAGATGGTGTTTTAAGTAGTAGGTAAGTAGCGCCTGACAACAATCATTATGTACAAGAGTTGTTTTTGAGGGGTTGTAGGTGCGATTGGATCGTCTACATGAGAGTAGAGCTAGGCCTCGTTATGCTGCCCTTTATTCTTCGATACTTTTAGAGGTCTCGTTGTCCTTGGCAGTTGAAATTCCTGTTCATGCTGCTTTGTGTATGCGCCTTCCTCCGATGACCTTTTTGTTTCTCTTCGTTTAGGAATTGATGAAGTACCTTGGCATACATTCTCCGCGTTCCTAACTTGAATAATATATGATGTGTTGAATTTTATACCGCTTGCTATCGTCTAATGTCGATGCCATGTTGTAAGAGCCCGTTTGTTTTTAGGTCATTTCGATCCGTAGACCCGATGGATTCTTTTTGAGTGGCAGTAGAAGAACGCATTCAAAAGGGTTTCATCTTTCGCTTTCATCCTCAAGTGGAAATGCTGCCTCATTTATTTCTTTGTATTATTTCGTTTTTTCCAATAGGTGAGCC